ATGAGAATGGGATCAAGAGAAGGAGAGAAAGGGAGGGAGGGAGGGAGGGAGAGAAGAAGGAAAGAAGGGAGGGAGGAGGAAGGGAAAAGAACAAATAAAACCACATAGCCTCATAGGTTCAGGCCTGTTGACCCTCAGCTACTACCCTGGCCATCTTGCTCCCTAAGTCGGTCAGGGATCACACCTCCCCTCCCAACACACATCCCTGATATCAGTGCTTCACCCCCATAGAAAAGAGCAAGGACCGTGGCAGCAACACGATTGGCGCCCGCCTGAACCGGGTGGAAGACAAGGTAGGCTCAAGCATCTGGCTGTATGGGCTCCAGTGGTCTGCGTCCTCAGGACCAGCTCAGTGCCTCTGAGGGCAGCTTCTTACTCCTCTACTCTGTCTTGAGTGTGCACTGGGGACTTGGACAGGGCCATAGGGTGTGTGGTCCCCTCCCTCCTTTCATGCTCACTGTGGCCCACACATCCCTTCTCTAATTGGGACTCAGCCACCTGGCTGGGTATCTATCCCCCTGGAAGAGGCCTGGCCAGACTGGTTTCTAGTCTTTTGACAAGTGGTATCTCTACTGGCAAGTGGCGCCTTTCAGGAGCATGACCTCCTGTGGCCCAGGAGCTTCCTGCAGTGCCCACCAATCCCTCCCTGGACTTCCGCTGTCTGCTTTCACCTAACTAACCCAGGGCCATGGCCCTGCCTCTGTCCTAAGTGGAGAGACTGAGACCTTGAGGCCAGGCGCACTGGGCCTACACTATGACCCACTCTGTCCCAGCATCTCTCATGCCGGCTTTGTGTTCCAAGAGCCTTCTGGCTACACACTGAGTGAGGGGTAGCAGTAGCAGCCTGGCTACTCAGACTTTCTCTAGGCCCAGCTGTCTGAAGCTTTTGCTTTGGGCAGGCCAGGGGTCAGAGGACTCAGTCTGCCCGAGACTGGTTCATGGGAAGGGACATCCTCTGCTTATCTTGGATGCAACTGTACTGGGGAGGGGTCAGCTCAGGATGGGATGATGGCTTGTCCTGGCCCCACCCTGTTAGGCCACATTCAGCCTCCACTGGAGGCTCTTAATTAGCGTCACAGATGTTCAGATGGGGTACAGCAGCTCAGGTGGCTCCTCTGTGGCCTGGCTGCTCTCTACTTCCAAATGCCAGGGCCTGAATGGACTGGGCTACAGGGATGCCCTACTGCCTGCCAGGCTTGCCCACTGTCACCAGCCACTCAGCCCAGAGCCTCTGCACAGGGTGGCCCAGGAGCCAAGGGAGTTTCTGGACCAAGGAAGGCCCTTTTTTTGGCTAGGCTCAACCCACCGCTGCCCTTTGAAGTCTGTGGTTTGAGGCGGGCTTTTATCTTGCTGGGCAGCTCGTCTGTCTACATGGATTTTATCTGAAAGTTACTGAGTGGCTAAAAATAGAGGAATTTCAGTTGGGCAGGGAGTGCTGCCTGCCTTGCTGGGTTGCCCAGCAACACCCAGCCCTGGCTCACTTCCAGTCGCTGCAGTGGGGCAGGTGGGCCTGGCTGGGCCCATGCAGGAGGAGTGGCTCTCCATTCCTGCCTTGCCCAACCCGGCCCCGGGGGGAAGTCTCCCCTCCCCACCTGCATAAGCCGCCCCTGCCTATGGTGGCCATGGTTCCCTAGACCAGTAAATGAAATCGAGAAGACAGGGGGCAGGCGGGGCTCCAGGTGCCCCCTGGGATCCTGACTTTGGGCCTGGCCTGCTGGGCAGTATATTCCTACACCCAGATCCCACTGGAAGACCTGAGCAGGCCTGAGCAGGCCTGAGCAGGGCAGCACCATGACTTTTGCCAGGGAGGTGGCCCAGCAGAAGTTGGTGTCCACCTGTCAAGATGGAAACAGACAACCAGGAGTCGTTAGCTCACAAGATCAGGTCCAGCAGCCCGTGAGCCTGGTCTCTGTCCTCTGTGAACAAGGGTGACCTTGACTTTCCCTCTTTGCACGTGGACCCAGTAACTCGGGGCTGGTGCACCAGAGCAGCAGGGCCCTGCCCTGTGCTGAGTGTAGGCTGGACACATCTAGACAGCAAAGGAAACTGGGAAAGAGCCACAGCAGAAAGAGCCAGGCCCAACCCAACCTCCTCACTCAGCCCATGTGTGTCCCTGGTCAAGGCAGCTGTCTCCCACCACTGGCCTGCATCCTGGTAACCTCTCCCTGACAGCACAGGCTGAGCTATGGGAGCCTGCCCACCCCTACAAGTTCTGAGAGCATCACCAACTGCCATTCCCAGATCACCCACAGTGTCCTGCCAGGTCTAGTTCTAACCCCCTCCATGACTGTCCCAGGCCTTTCTTATGGCTCTTCCCACTGCCCCATGGATCACTGACCCCTCCCCTTAAGCCGAGACCAGGATCCTGGTGTCCTCTGAGGGATGACAGTGGGTGGCAGAAAGCATCTCCTGAAAAGATGATAAAAATCCCCTCTTCTCAGGCTTGAGTCATGGCCATCCATGGCCTATTGGTGTCTGAGACAAAGGTCAGTATGGTGGGCAAAGGTGGGTCAGTGCTGGCCTCAGGCTACAGAATTACATGCCTGTGTTTCATCATCTCTGATACACAAAGAGCCGTGTTTTCAAGAATCCCTGGTCCTTGCAGGCAAGGTTTAGGAACAAAACTGGGGCCAAGTGACAAAGCCCCCAGCCAGAGCACCGTCAGGCCCTGGGCCAAGGTTGCCAGGGTGCTGGGAGATTCTGCAACAGGGGGCTTCATGGGCACTGCTCTGCTTCCCCCACCCCGTCTGACTTGGACCTGAGCTATTCATCAAGGGGCCAACAGAGATGCACTGACTGGAGAGCAGGCAGCTCCGGGAAGCATTGTCTCCACCATGGCAGCCTGCCCAGCCCCTCTTCTGCCAGGGACCACTGGCCCCATAGGGACAGACCCTGGGAAAGGGCTTCTCTGGGCCCAAAGGGCACAGTAACATGGCCTGGGCCTCACATTATCGCAGTTATCAATGTAGCCATCAGGACCATAAACAACCCAAGCGCAATCCTGCTGACCTTGGGAAGTAGGGGACAGGAAATCCCTCAGAGCCTAGCGGGCCCACAGCAGAGCCAGTGCCAGCCTGGCCAGCCAACCCCAGCCAGAGTCCCTGGGCCTTTCCCACCCAGCCCTCCCCTCACTTCCATCCACCAGTCTGGCCACGGGGCCGAGGCAGTCAAAGCTGTAGCCCCCAGATCCTCACTTTTGAACTGAGTCTTGTCCCAGACTGGATCATTCAGCTGCAGGACCAAGACCCAAGGGGAGAGGAGAAGGGGCCTTTGAGACTCACAACCGGCACTCACTTTCAGGAGGGGATCATTCTGAGGGTCAAGGGAGCCTCAAATGTCCACTTTCAGGGAGTTACCCAAAGAAGCCCACTGAGTTTGTTCAGGACTGCCTCAGTTTCCCTGATGGGGGGCCCTTCCACCCTTATGTCTGGGCCAGGGACCCACTCTGGAGAGAAGGGCCCTGTGGACTCCGTTGCAGAAAGTCCAGGGTTGTGTGAAACTCTCGCTCAGCAGTGGGCTGTCTCTGCTCCAATTCAGAGCCCTCCACTTATCCTGCGGGATGATCTATCCCTCAGGCCCAGTCCACCTCTGCATCTGGCCTGGCCACAGTCTGAGCCTTATGTTCCCACCCATACCCCTGGACTCAGGAACCTCCTCAAATCTCAGACCTGTTCCCAGCTGGCCTCCCTCCATTGTCAAAAAGGCTTGAACTGTTGGCGTGCTCATATTTAAAAATCCAAAAACTGCTGCACACTCTTTCAGCTTTCAACTTATATTGTTGTCTTCTTTATTCTAAAAAGGGCTCTTATTTGTCTAAATAAATCCCTTCTCACAGGTGGGATAACTAAAGCCAATTTCTCAATCACCTGAGTGCACACAGCTAGTGAGGCAAAGAGCTGAATTCCAAGGCCATAGAGGAGGATGGGAGAGCTGAAGTGGAGAGGGATGGAGAGAATGAGAAAGTGTTTCATAAATATAAGGGTGCCTTTGAGAAGAAGCTGGGGCCAAAAACTGAGGGTCAAGGCTGGGGGAGCACAGGCAGCAAGGTCCATGGACTGTGATGGTCAGGGGAAGGGGCCAGGTTGCCTGTCATCCTGCAGCAGGAGTCGAAAGAGCGCTGGCCATGCCCAGCCCAGCCCCAGGCCCACTGGACCTCCCCTGGCTCTCTGAGAAACCCACTGAGAAATCTGTGCCCATCTTCCCCTCAACATGGATTCTCAGCTTTTCCCAGGCCTGCCGTGGTGTTTACGTTGGGTGCTGTTTATTTTGCAATCTAAGTTCAGGCTGCTGTGCTGATACGAGCAGCACAGAACGCTGGGAGATTTTCTTTCTTCTCTGTTTTCGCGGGAAACGTTTGTGGCTTAGAGCAGAACATGGGAGTTCTGGATTTCCAGGCACCAGTTCAGAGAGCAACTAATAGGGAGCCACCACCCACCCCCATCCCCTAATCCAACCCTGGACTCTCCCACCACTAGCTGTCCACTGAGCCATATACCCAATATGGATTCTGCCCTAGACACTGCTGCTCTGCCCCTCATCCCAGATGCAGTCCTCTGCCCATCAGGCCTACAAGTAGACTGCAGGCCTTGCCATCCCAGGCAGCTCCCTTGGGTTCCCCCAAAAGCTGCCTCAGTACCATTCATCCTTGCTCTCCAGCCCCATGTCCTGCTGAGTCCAGGCTTTTATCTTCTCTGGCTTGGATTATTTACCCAGCCATTGCAGCAAACTCCAGTCCCTCACATTGTATATTATTTCTCAAACATTGCTGAAGTCTACTTGCTAATGTTTTGTTCAGAACTTTTGTATCAATACTTCTGTGTGAGATTCGTGCATAGCACAACTTCCCTCTCTTACTCTATCCCATCAGGTTTTGGTAACACATTCATGTGAACCTCATAGACTAAGATAAAAAGTATTCCATCTTTTAGTATGTACTAGGACATTTTGTGTAAGATTAGAATTTTTTTTTCATTTGAGTATTTAGTGGAACTTAGAGGCAAAGCCATCTAGTCCTGCTGTTCTCTTTGTAAGAAGATTGTTACTGATTTTATGGCTCTAAGGATTATTGACTATTGGGGTTTTCTGTTTCTTCTTATGTCAGTTTTGAAAAGTGATATATTTGAGAAATTTGTACATTTTATGTTAGCTTTCAAATTTATTGACATTTATTATTTTCATGTCTATTTTGCCCCCTTTGTATCCCCAATTTGATTTTTTGTGTCTTTACTATTTTTCCCCAGTGGTCAACAAGCTTTCCAGCTTATCATCAATTTTATTAATATTTTCACCCAAC